TTTTTGTTCTCCAAAAACATCCCAGGTTGTCTCCTAGAATTCAGTAAACTTTGAACAAAATTTTTTTTTTCCAAGAATAATTCTAAAACTTACCTTCAGTAATGGAAGCTAATCTCACAGTTCATGATTCAAAACTAGGTTAGACATAGGTCAAACATAACTGGGCATTAAATGTAGAATCAATCTGAACAAGCTTCATATATATCTGCAAGAATGTGTTTTTAGGAGGCACAGTGGAGTAATGGATAGCCGCTTAGATTGAGGAATTGGAGAGCCGAGTTCGAATTTCACTTGAATCCATTACATTCACGTACATGCTAACACCCTTTGGAAAAGTATGAATCCTCCTCTTTTCCCCCCAGCTATGGGTAAATAACAGGACGGATTGAGTTCTATAGTCTTGGATGGCAACTGGTCTACCACAGAAAGAAATGGAAACCTACTGTGGGAAAAAAAATTGCCTCGTCAGTCATGTATCAAAAGATACATGATCACCTAAGCATGTATCATGTTTGGCGCATAACTGACTGACTTTCTATACATCTGATAAACAAACACCATATATATATATATATATATATATATATATATATATATATATATATATATATATAGCTAAAATATCTTTCAAAGATATTTTCAAACATATGTGGCTCTGAGCTAGGATTTTACTTTGTTGCACAAACCAGTGATTTATCAGGCATACTTTAGACAGATTAGACACAGAGAACAAACAGCCTAGCAAGGTTTTATTTTCCCTTTTAGGGAAAGCACATTATTTTTATCGAAAGTCCATATCTGCTCAGTTTTGTATCCAAAATGTAAAAGGGAAAATATAGTCTTGCTATGCTGTGTTCAGTCTCGGTGGCTGAGTAGTCTAAGGCATAATGTATGTTTATCAGATGGCTGTGTGTACTAGCCTTTTCCTTATAAAGCAAATATTTGGCATTTATTGATAGAACAGTCAGGGCTATTTTTAGTTGAAATTTACAAAATCTTTCTAGGAAAATAGTTTTTCAGGCAAAATGACTGGGAAAACCAAGCCCTACAAATGCAAACATATATCTATATTTGAATATATATATATATATATATATATATATATTCAAATATAAATATTTTCCTTTTGTCATTTCTTTTATTAATAGATATAAAAAGTATAGTGGATCAAATGGTGGTTTATCCTACAATTGGGGACACATGGTCAATCTCTGCCAGTGCAGATTTTATTAAGATTTCTTGAATATGCAGATAAATAGACATAATACACACTGTTTAAAGGTGTCTAATTCAAATATAAGTGTCCATTGTAGTAGTGTTTGAAGTAATAAAATTGTTACACACACATATATATATATATATATATATATATATATATAGGCAGCAAATCATGATTTAAACATGTTTTATTGAATAATAGGGATATATTATGTCTATTTGTTTTTTATAATGATCCTTTCCAGTTGTCTTATCAGTTACTTGATGTAAAGATGAAATTAGTCACAGAAGGCATTGCAGTTTTTCCATACCCAAATATTTTCATCTTCTCCAAGATCATCCTCAGTGGTAAATTACAACACTAAACTTATTGTAATTGTGACAAAATCTACTTTTCATTGTGATGGTAATTTAAAAAAAAACACACATGAATACACACTGTTATAATCATTTTAAAATTTTAAATTTATCTGTTGTAGCTATGAATGTTTTTTGTAAACAAATGTCCCAATATAACAGCTACATTATTCAGACTATTGTCCTCATCTTTGTTGCCGTTTTGGTTGTTGTATGCTCCAGGCTTCTTCAGGTAGTTGGAATGTCAAACTGAACCCTTTATTTCACTCACTGGAGTAGACTGTTCTATTTCCATGTGCCATGTTCAATGGATGTCAGTTATCAGTTATCTCCTGTTAATTCCCCTCTCCAAGTTCTCTGCTGCCTTAACCGAGTATTGAACTCACACAATTTGGGTCTTATCACTGGATTTAACCAACGCCTTTATCCACTGAGTCATGTGTCCTCAAGGACTACCTGAAGAAGGCCAGAGTGTACAACAGCCAAAACATTGTAATAAATATGGCGACAAAGATGAGGATAATAGCCTGAATAATATAAATAGTGTACATAATACCTCATCTCAGAAATATAGACAGATGCATAACTGAGCTAACTGGAAATTAGTAGCATGCAAAATGGCATTAAATGTTTGTGATATGCACTTCAACATATTACTGCTACATACATACATAAATTTTGCTGTGTGTCGGTTGCTTGCTTTTGATAAAGGAAAAAATCAACCAAGAGTCAAGTACTTGGTAGGTAAAACCAACATTACCTTCCCTGATGTGAGAACTGGAAAGAATTATTATAAAAATAAACAGTCATATGTTTCTATTATTCAATTATATATATATGTGTGTGTGTGTGTGTGTGTGTGTGTGATGCGATAAACAACAAATAGGAAATGTTTATCAATATATCATGTTTCACTTATATTAAAGCAGCATCAGAGAATGAAATAGTGTGAAAAAGAAGAAAGAAATTCTGATATTTTTATTTTTGTGCTGTTTAATTTTCATTGTTTAATTTTATTTCATGGGCATATCAACAAAGAGTAGTATAAATAATGGCATTCCAAATTTGAGGAAAGACGAGGCATCCTTTTGAATTTCTAAAAAATTAACAGATTCCAAGCTTAACTAAAAAATACATAAATATTGTTTTATGATTGTCAGCATATAATAATCATAGTAAATATATTCTTTTTCTCCATATCTCATTCTCTGATGAAGCTTCAATAAAAGAGAAACATGTTAGATTGATATATATTTCCTATTTGTAATTTATCTTATTCTCTTGTATTGTAGACCTATATTTGATACCAATCCATATATATATATATATATATATATATATATATATATATATATATAATTATATGTATGTGTTTAGTGGTTATCATTAATGAAACTGGGATTGGCATCAGTCTGTCAGTTAAGTGCCATACATGATACACACTTGGGCTTTCATGTCTCTTTCAATTCATGACTGACAAGGCAGAAGATTTTCCTGCAGTAGGTTCATTTCTTTCTGTGTTAGAATGGCTGAAAACCAAGGCTATTGAACCCAGTCTGTCCTGCTATTTAACCCATAGTCGGGAGGATAATATGGATTTATATCTTTCTTGAGATACAAGTGAATATAATGCACCTGACTGAAATACTGAGTTCAAAAGAGACAGACGTTGCAGCATAATGTGCACCATTTCCCAGGTATCTCTGGTATTCACAACTCTAATCAAAGCATCTGCATTGGCCGTTTAGCGATTCAGTTCTGAACTGAATTGTTAAGCCCTTATATCTTGAAATCAACAGAAAGATCTACCAGGCATGTCTTTCTCTCACTATATACCCTCCCTATACATAGAGTGCGATCGATAAATTGTCACCTAAATTACGTAAAAATGAAAATAACAAAGACATCTCATTTTAACAGATATCCAAAATTAAACAAAAATATCTTGAAATACTAAAGAGTAAATTTATTAAATAAGATCACCATTGGCTTCAAACACAGTGTCCACATAACACTGGAATCTCCTGCAATTCTTCTGGAGGTATCTCCTTGTTTAAATTGGTGAATGCTGCCATAATCCTTGCCTTCAATTCATCTTTGGTATTACAAGGAGTTTTGATGGTCTCTCACTCAAATGTGCCCCACACATAATAATCAATGTGGTTGCAGTCTGGGGAGATAGGTTTTGATGTTCACCTCTGTGTTGAGTCTGAGGCCCTGTGAGAAGATGAATGGAGGCATAACATCGCCATAACTAGTGATCACTCCAAACACCATGATGTTGACTGGATATATCATCAAACTCTTTCTGAATCCTCTGCATTTTTGTCAGAGTGACACCCAAAAACTCTGTAATGTTCATATTGGAGCTTCTAACACAAATGCCAAGCAGTGAAGCATGCTATCTCCAAATTTCTGCCAGAGTAAATTGTGTCATGGCTATTTTTTCACAGACAGTGTCCAACTGACCCTACTATACTATGCTGTCGACAAAATCAAAAACAACACACATGCACAAAATTTAAAATGAAAGATAAAAGGCCTGAGAAAAGAAAATTATGAGTGCTTCCAAATCAGCATCCCTCAAGTGACAAGGAAACTCATACCAAGAAAACCTGTTTTCCTCACAGTTTCTTTAAATATGCGTTACTGCTCATGTAAGTGTGGCAAGGTGTAAGTTCTCAACCTTTTTTTACCCATGGACTAATTTTACTCTTAATATTTTTTGTGGATCCCCAAACCATTTGATGAAAAAAAAGCTTAGTTTATGTTTTATTAATAGAAAGTTTTAAGAATTATATTATAGAAAAAGTAAATGCATATGCCTCCTTTATATATAATTTATATATTAAATTAATTTTTTTAATATTTTAAATTAATTAATTTATATTAAGATATTAAGCTTTTATTTGATTTTATTAATATTTATAATTAATGTTATTATTTATTATTAATATATTAATGTTATTTATTATTAATATATTAAAGTAATGTTATTTATTATTAATATATTAAATTTATATAATAAATTATAATCTGTATATAATTTTCCTTTAGATATATAATCCTTCCTTTATATTCAACTTTTGCAATCAAAACATCCACTAGAGTAAAAGGGGATGCTAACTTACAGTGACTGATCTCGTTTTCTGCTAATGTTAGAGTTGTTTTTTCTATTTTTAGTATTTTAATATGGCTCTAGATTATTGCAGAAATTCCAATTCCCAGTTTTAACAACCATCCCAAAGTGAAATTGCTCTATCGACCACTAAAATATTACCGTGGACCTCCAATTTTCTATTTTTTTGTGTAGACTCCCAGTAATGGTCCATAATGACCCCAGTTGAGAACCACTGTTGTAAGGTCAAACCTGTCTTTTTAAGTTTAACCAGGGATCAGCCACTGAGATATGTGGTACTATACACCTAGGAGAGTGTTCTTTGTGCAGAAGCAGCAAAGGACGACTATAAAGAAAAGCATATGTTTCTGTTGTTCATTAGATCAATTTGGCTCAGAGAAACAGTCATGTGATCTGACAAGACCTGCACAAGACATTGTTAGCTGGGAAAGTCAATCTTCCTCTTTTTGCTCCTTGAAGTTACAGTAACAAGACACACAATTTCAGGCTCATAACAACCAGACAGATAAGTACAAAATTTATATTGTCATTTGGTACCTAGTCCTTTGCAAGAAAAACTTGTATGAAAAATTTGGAATAGAAATACATATATATAGAAGTTTTTATATGAAGACCTTTGCATTTTCTTTTAACTTTTCATATATTTATGTTGTTGACAGTTATTTTTATTGGATACTTGTATTTGAATAGATGCTCTGCTTATTTTAAACAGTATTATATTTTGTCTAGCAGCCAGTGCATTTGAGAAAACTTATGAAAAAAAACTTATCTCCAGAAGGATTCAAAATTTTGCCCACCACTTGCAGGAGAAACCACCATTTATTCTGATGTATTTTGATCACTCAGCTAATGTAGGACTTCACAATCAGGTAAGATTCTATTTGTCTTTAAAACACACTTTAGACATTCAGATTTCATATCCAAAGCATAAACAAAGAATTTTCTCAAATGTGCAGGTTGGTAAACAAAATACTGTTTAAAATAAATGGAACATCTACTCAAATATGGGTATACACTAAAATAACATTTAAAGTAATAAAAATTTTGGATGAAAAATTAAAATTCACTAATTCTTTATGAAGCAATCTTGATAAACTGAGACATATTCAAAGTGTTTGTTTTCCATCATAAAGTGAAGACTTTGCATATCTGTTTAGTAAGGAATTTATATTTGGGAAATTTCACTGACACACAAGAGTGGATTTTATTCAGGTGAAATATATATATATTGTTGGGGTGCACCCACCTTCTAACTAGTAATGGACTGGTCCCTCTTATATAAGTCAGCTCTGGAGAGAGAGAGTGACAGAGCGTCAGAGAGAGAGAGTCAGCGTGAGCAGTCCAGATATAGCTTACTCCGGTACATACCGTTGGACTATAGACTTTGGATATTGTTTCAAAGACTAACCAACCTTCGTTCTACTAATCACTCTATTGTTAATTGCTTTTATGAATATACCAGTATTTTCCTCTACAACTGTGTTTGTCTTGATTCATACACCGACACGCAGGAAACTCACAACATCTCATATATAGGGTCCAGTCCTGCAATATAACAGCAGTTCCCAAAAAGATCTGTGTTTCTATTTGAAAAAGCTTTAATCTTTAGAAGTATTCCTACCCAATTTGAAAAATATAAGAAATTTACAATAGCAACTATGTTTATAGAAAAGAATGTTTATATAAAACATTGTTTGTTTTTAACAAAAGAAACAGAACCAATAAGCACTGTATTTATAGACAGAAAAATTCTCTTCACCTCAGCATAAATTATCTATGACAAGCAAAACAAAACAAAAATGGTAATTCTTGATGCCATTTGATTTATGGGAAAATAGATACTTAAGATAAAAATGGTTATCTATCATAACTGGTCTTTCTAGCTGGCCAAATCACAAATGATATGTTTGATGTAAATCATGTGACTAATATAATCAAAAAATTCTGGGAACTGGTTGGACTTCCATTACAAATTAATGAAAACCACATAAGATAAATTTCCCAATTTTTCACAGATTAACAATGCACTTGTATAATTTAAAATCATGTCAGATTCCAGCTGCAAAGAATTCAATGTACAAAGACATACACGCACACATACTGTTGAGATGTTGTGAGTTTCCCGCGTGTTGGTGTAAGAATCAAGACAAATACAGTTGTAGAGGAAAATACTGGTATATTCATGAAAACAATTAACAATAGAGTGATTAGTAGAACGAAGGTTGGTTAGTACGAAACAATATCCAAAGTCTATAGCCCAACGGTATGTAACTGGTAAGCTTATCGGGACTGCTGTCACTGACGCTCTCGCAGAAGCTCTGTCTCTCTCTGTCCCTCGCTCTCCAGAGCTGACTTATATAAGAGGGACCAGTCCATTACTAGTTAGAATGTGGGTGCGACCCAACACATACGTACATACATACATACTCACACACATGTACATATATGTGTGTGTGTATATATATATATATATATATATATATATATATATATATATATATATATATATACATACACATTTAAATACATATACACGTACATATATACATACACAATTAAATACGTACATACACACACACATATATATAATATATATATAGTCCAAGTAAGTGATCAGGAAGAGGCAGCTGAAGTTTCTGGGAGACACAATGAGAAAGGAAGGCCTGGAGAATCTGATACTCACAAGTCAAATAGAGGGAAAGAGAGACAAGGGTAAGCAATACAGGACATACCTAGTAGGCTTAAGCAAGTGGATGACAGAATGTGGTCTGGGTGTGTTGGCAGAGGGGCAAAACCTACTGAGACCTACAAGGGATAGGGGGGGGAATGGAGAGTCATTATTGCCTACATGCTGAAAGGACACAGCACATAAAAAGAAAAAAGTGAACCCCCAGGATAATATTAAAAAATATTGTCTTTTTTTTTTTCCCAGATAATCAACAAATCTAAATTGAACTATATATTTACTCAGAAAAACCTTTATTAAACAATCTTCACATACAATGATGGCTCTAGGGTTGCTGGAACCCCAGGCGAGCTGAACTTCAGCACTTTTACAAGCATAATTTTTTTTTAAATTTTCACAAGAAAAACTGAAAATGTAGAATAAGAAGTTTAGTATAATATACAGCTCAATACATGCGAAAGAAAACATTCATTATCCTACCTAAAACATTTTTTTCTAGCCTTTAGTTCTGCAGATCTTTTTATGGCACTTTTTACACTTATCTTCTTTACAAGATCATTTTCTATTGACAAAATAGCCAAAGAATTTAATTTGTCTTGAGTCATGGATGACGCAAGTATATTTTTATAAGCTTTAGTTTTGGAAGATCCCAAACACATCATATCACAACACAATGGCAACCTTGGCTTTGATGGTGCCCTGTGTGAATACATGAGTTGCCAGTAACTAAGAACCAACCTTGTTCATATATATATATATATATATATATATATATATGAGTTGTGATCTCTGTATTTTTATTTTCTTAAACAGTGAAATTAATAATAGCTGGCCTGGGTCAAGACGTCCTAATAAAGAAAGATGTGCCTTTTAACAGGTAACTAAACTTGTGTCTCCCTTTTTTCATCCAGGAGAAAGAGGATTTCTCTTCTATGTGCCATCTCCCTTCATGACATGTGCAATCACGGCTCTCCACAATTTCCTGTCCTTTGTTGTCATTAATAAGATGTATTTTTGCTATCTCTTCTAAACCTTTTTCTTCCATCCCTTTACAAAAGCTTGTCATCAATATGTCCTTTGAAGTGGCAAAATTTCTAAGCCTTCTTATGTACCCTAGAAATTTCAATTATCTCTTTCTGTTTCTATGTATAAGTTTCCTTTTTGTTTCCATTTTCTCTAAAACTCTGTTGTTGCTCACATGTTCAGTTTATCTTATTCTCAGCATCCTTATGTAGAACCACATTTCTGTTGTCTGAAGTCCCTTCTTCATCTTTGAGAAGATTGTTTAACATTCACTGCCATATAGGATGACTGATAATACATAACAGTTCAGTACTCTTTTCTTTGTTTTGAATATTTCCAATTAATATTTATTAAAGGATCAATAATTTTCTGTTGAACATTATTAATATATATATATATATATATATATATAGAGAGAGAGAGAGAGAGAGAGAGCTACATGATGTCACCTTGAGTGACTTGAAATTGGTTCCTTTAAACATGAGAATGCTGGAATTAAAACCCAGTTGTGTAACTACACACAGAATAATCCTTGAAAATGAATGTAGCAATATTCGAAAATACTCAGGGAAAAACATAAAATAAAACTTAATATGAATTTTGGATAATTTACCAATAACACAAAACAATTTATTTGGAAATTTATTCGGAAATTTGCAAGATTTAATAAAAAACTGATAGATAGAACTTGTCCATATTATTTAACAAAATGAGATATACATAATCTGGCACAGATAAATCCAGAATTGGCAACATGGCAACAATGCCATGACATCACAACATAGCACAGTTCTAAGAGCACCACTAAAAGGTACTACAGTTCAGTAGCTATTTGGCCATTGATGCAAGTAACTGACATGTCTTCAGAATATGATTGTCAAGCTGCTTTTGTGGAGAACCTTCATGCTGGCCACAAAACCAAGGAAATCACCAAATGGTTTAAATACTCTACAACCATGCAAAGACATATGGGGCCTCAGGTAACAAAGACAATTTCAGGCCAGAATGCAAGACTCATAAAAAGCACTCTGGAACCACCTTGATACCTGAACCTCATTGCCGCGTTTATCAAGGAGAACCCCAGCAAAAAGCATGAGGAAAATCAGGATAATTGGGCTTATTTGTCAAGCAGGACTTGAATTATAAATCTTATCTACTCAAGAAGCGCCACTTGCTCACCATACCACTTCATGCCCAATTTATGGCCCTCTCATTGCCAGACTGCAATCCTCTCAACTATTTTGTGTGGGGGATCCTGGAGGAGGAGGTGAACAGCAGGCCCTACCACACCAGAAAGTGATCGCTGCAGACAGTGGTCACATTGAGTGATTTTTGTACCTTATCTATGTGCCTAATTGTGTAGAAACTTTCAATGAAATATATTAACATATTATATATAAAAAAAAAAAAACACTGTTTTTATTAACCACTAACTTTTTCCTGGATTTGTGCGTGTGTGTGTGTGTGTGTATATATACATATAGGTATTAATGAGGATAAAAAAAAATAACTAAATATTGTATCTGTTGAGAGATAAACATGTCTCCTGAAATGCCCACAACAAACATGTCAGTCTCAGGTTGTGAGTCCATGCAAAGAAACAACAAGAACCAATATATATATATATATATA